TGTAAACTGTATATCCGCATCGCCTTCGCCAATGCTGCGCTAGAAACGTTTGTGGCGGGTGGTCGAGGAAATGAAAGGGGCCGCCCATTCTTACCCGGCCGTTAATACCAATCACAACCTACTGGCATCGGGCTTCTAGAAAGTGGCTGATCAAGAGTCCGCGGTGAGACACACACACACAATGTTGGACCCTGCCAATCACCACCAACAGAGGGTGCGCCAATTACCCGTTGCCATCCATGTGCCACGCCTTGCGGCAGGGGATATCTCGACCTCGCCCACTCTCCGTGTTTGGATGGGGATGTTGAAACGAAAGTTCCTCTACCATTTTGGATATTAAGGACAAGTTAGAAAAGCGGTACACTCGTACGTCGGTGCCGAGTCAAGCGTGGCGTTGCCAGTGATCGGCGCCCAACCTTGCCTGGTACAGGAAAGGGGGGAGAGTACGGAGCGCATGGTAATAAGCTTGCTCAACAACCATGTGCGGATAAAGGACGGAAAGGTCCATGATCATTATGCCGATTCTGAGGCCATGGCGATCCTTGCTTATAACGGCGTTCTGGATAAAATCGAGCTCAAGCCTCAAGACGTGAGGCGAAACGACGAAGAGTGATGGGCTTCTTGAAAGATATCTGCCTCGACCCACCGAGAGTCAAGGTTGACTCGACAAGTCTTCGGCATTGAACAAGTTCCGACAAGACGACGTGCCGCGTCTGTTAATATGCCCAGATCCGACTCCAAAGCCGATGTGCCCATGCGAATCTCCTCGACCAACGGGTACGCGTATGCCTAGGAAGCACTTGTCGATGGTTTGGCCAACAAATCCTCCTGTGCGAAATTATGCTTCATGACGCAATCGGAGGGCAGGCTGTATCGGGGAGGGCACCACGCGCAAGGTATCCTGACGTGGCCGGCGACATTGCCTCATGCGCTGAAGAGGACCCGGCAAAGGTTTGACGATGGCATTCACGGGCGCAGTGAGTTAATGCGCTCAGTTATTACTCAGAAGTGCCTGTGGGGGATTGCGACGGTGCTTGCATTGGTGGTGTTGTGTGCAGGTACGGAGCAAAAGTGTGATGCAGCTAATCCTACGGCTCACGGCAAGGCCCTGGAGTTGCAGTTGAGCTAAACAAATTAGGACTGGCCTTGAGCATGAAGGCTATTCGTTCGTCTAGTAACAGCGATGAACAGTTCGATATGCTCAATCCGAAGCCGGATTTGCGTGCAGGTCACCGCAAGTCTGCCAATCGCAAAGTATACGGACGAAAATCCGGGGGAAAACCATCCAAGCTGCTGAAGCGATCACGCTGTACCAGTACATTGTTGTACAACCTGCAAGATTCGTCGAATTCTCTGTGCAAAGACACTTCCCTCCCCACACTGACAGGTCTCGGACAGCCTTGAGGGCTGATGCCAGAAATCAAGAGGCCGAATTGAGCTGGAACGGACGTTGGGCGAGCGCGGCAGATGTGCCTCTCGTGCTTTCTCTGGCTAACAGAGTGGGTTTCAGAGTATGAGTGGATAGCTCGACAAAAGGACCATGCCCCTGCCACACTAAAACTAACTACTCTGGACGATGAGCCTGGAAGACTGTTCAGACTGTCCGGGACTAGTGACGGAATTGCAGGGGCTTGAGAGGGGACCTCTCATGGAGACAGGCACACATACTGTTGATGATGCCCTGGCTGCGAAGTGATAGCGTCTCCAAGGTATAGTTGCAGAAGGTTGTCCTTGAAGTAGGGCGTCGCAGCCACGTCGCTTACAAGGATAGCAAGACAATTCGACAGAGATAAGGAAGAGCTGCAAAGCTACAGAGTGGAATATGATACAGATTATATCTGTACAGATTACTGGTGCAGAAGAGGAATTGATGTGTTGCAATGCAGTGCGGAGCAGCAGCCTTGCACATGGAGCCTGACATAGTGTTGCTATTCGACGTGCAAGTCTTGGGGCAAGGCTGTGGAAGGTTGACAGCGAGCGAGAAAGGATGGAACAACCTGGCTGGGGCGACAGGCCTGCTGTTTGGCAGCACAATCTATCTTGACATGTTGGAGGGGCGTTGAAGTGGCTTGATGTATCCAGCTGCTCCGTATTGCCCTTGCGAGTATGTACACAGATGCGGATATTCTTGCAAGTACTATGGGGAGTGGCAATGGAGCGGCGAGTGGAAGCATGATTGGGGAGTCTCTTGAGTCTGTATTGCGTGCGATATCACGGGTATTGCTCAGATTTCGGAGCTGTCGTTTATCGTGTCCCGGACGACGAGGTAACAGTTATAAGAGCGAGGGATTATAGACCTAAAAATGTATCAAATGTATCTATTTAGAACATCGCGACTGGGTCGGAGCAGTGGGCGGTTCATCTAAAGTGCGCGTCTCGAGTCGCCACTTCGAACTTAAAGAGTACCGCTCAGACGAGTGCGCTCCAGCTAGGATTCTGCAACTGACTCAGTGGGAGAAGAAAAATATGTTAAAAACAGATCATTCAATCCACAGGCAGATGGCCCGGCAGATGACGCCCAGTACGACGGACGATGCGTCTTCGATATGGGGTCTGTAATCTAAGAGTAGGAGCATGGTGGCTTGAGATGCACGTGAACTGGAAGACAGAACAAGCAAGGCGAGGCCCAATCCTTGGACAAGTAGTCGAGATTACGGATACTTGCTTTGCTTTTTTGCTACAAGTAACAAGGATGGCAACTCCTCCACAATGTTTCGGGGCGTTCTAGTCGAGGAGGTTCTCACCACTTGTTTGGTCCTATAACCGCCGCCGCCATGGGGCCAATCTACCGAGCCAGTAGCCAAGACGGAATAGACAAGAGACGAGCATCGAGAAAGGCCTCCTCGGAAGCAGGTTCGGAGGTTATTTGGTTTCCACCCGTGGGCTTATGACTTGGCTGCAACCCCACTAAGAAAAGTAGACTGCCAGTCGGCGCGTAGCACGCAGGACGAGATGTCGGATAGACCAGAGTTACTCAGACGGGCACGATGCCATGCGCCTGTTGGAAGGTGAGCAGCAGACACACTGGTGAGCCTTGTGCAGCGGATAAGATGGGTGGTGCCGTCGAGACATGTGGTCACAAGGCTTGTGGTTGCAGTGTAAGATGGATTGAAGGCGACGGGCATGAGAGGGCAATATTACTACAACAGAGGCAGAAGGAGGACGACAAGAGCAGGGACCCGCTACAGTGCAAGAATGAATGACCACACGACTCTGAAGAGAAAGACTACAAGAAACAAGAAGAAGAGAAAAGGGAGGGTCTTTCTGAGGAAAACGAGGAAGCAAGGTATAGGAACCAACTAGTACGGATACACGTACAAAGTATTCAAGGACAGACATAGTACAGTACAAGAATGCATGTATATGAGGTAAACAGGGAAGCGTGCTATCACCGGTTTGAGCTAACTATGGAGGTAGCCTCCATAGAGCGTAGCGGACTTTAGCGTTCATTTGCGGCGGTCAGCAGGCGACTCACACAGCAGGGAAACCACTGAAAGGCGTTAACTTGCACTGGCTCACTGACTGGTCGCTTCCAGGCCAAGAGCGCTGCTGGGACGCCTACAGATTGCAGTGGCGGCGTGGCGCAGGCCGGGGTACCTAGCGGGCGTGGGCCTGGCAGCGTGGCTGCTGTTGCTGTCGGGCGTCTGGAAGCTTGCTGAGAAGGGACAGTGTGCAGGGCAGCTGGTCGAATCAAAGGAGAGGTAAATACCTAAATCCTGGCCATGTGAATAGAATAGATGACGATGGCATCCCTTCATCTGGCAGAGTAAATAGAGCGTCTCAGAGCTGAATCGCTCAAGTACCAGTCCCGCTACCTAATTTCAGAGTGACAAGAGGGTCCCTCAGATGCTCCGCGGGCCTGTTGCCCGTAGGCTGTACCAGAACAGCTGACTGACTGTCCCAGTGGTGAGGGAGTCGAGTTGCTCAGGACCTTTTGCCCAGAGTTTGGCCCCTCCGCCGATCGTTGTTGAGCGGTAACTCGAGCCATGCTTCACCTGGCAGTTTCTCCGTGGCATTGGTCGGTGCAGCTGGAAGACTGGTGGTACCAGTACGGAGTCCTGCCAACCGGAGGACGCTGATTGAGTGAGATGGCAGGGCATTCAACACCCCCCCCTTTGTCGAACCCCGTTCTTAGCGGTGCCAGTGGACACCCTCTAGCGCACTCCAGGGCTTTTCAGCACCCCCCCCCCCCTAGGCCTGCACCCCCCTGGCAGGTACCTGTTGCCACTGGGAATCCGCTGTGCCCAACATTGTCCCCCTCTCCGCTTAACCCTTCCTCCGAAGCTCACCCCCTTTCCCCTCTTCTCTCCACCACGCACACTCACAGCTCGCCTTCCTCCTTCACCAACCGACTTCTTCCCACATGTGCATCCACTTCCATTATCTTCGTACCCACGTCCACAATCACCAGCCATCGCATCTCGTGGCTTTTCGCCCAGACGCCCCTCCCATCATCCACCAATGCCGTCACACCCCCTTCCTGGTCCGCTTCACCAAGCCCTCTCTTGGGAGACACCCCTCCCCGGCCTACCTTGGGTCTGCTACGGGGGGGCACGCACGCCTCTCGTCGTCTCCCACGCTCGTGCTGCTCCAACAACTCTCTCTACCCGGCCGTTCGCCGCTAACACTGGAAGACGACGAAGCCGGGACCGCAAGTCAACTCCCTCATGGCATGCATATACATATCGCCGGGCTTCCCATGTTCGTCCTGCCCACCTGCACTTTCTCACCCGCCGTACATTTCCCAATCCGCATTCTCTTCTGCTCATGTTGCTGCTTCTTTGACAACACGCAAACCAACTCTTACCTCGCCTTCTTCATTCGCTTGACACGACCTCCCCTCCCCTCTACTACTCGCACGACGCTATCTTACCGTGTGGGACATTGCCAGCTATTCAACACCGTACACCTACGAGAACTCTAGCCGCAACGACAACCACCCGCGTCTGCCTCTTGATAATACAAGTTAATATACAAAACTATTGCGTATTGACCCGAATATGACGGCGCCTCTCTCGCATCAGACCGTCACGGTCAAGGACCCCGCCGCCGTCCGCAAGCGCAGACGCCGTGCTCCTGCTGGCGGTGCCGCCGATGACTGCTTTGCTTGCACAAAACGCAATGTAAAGTGCGACCGCCGGCGGCCGTACTGCTCGCAATGTCTCGAAGTTGGCAACGAATGCTCTGGCTACAAGACCCAGCTGACCTGGGGTGTTGGTGTTGCCAGCCGTGGCAAGCTTCGTGGTCTCTCGCTACCCATCGCAAAGGCCCCCCCGGTGGCTCGTGAACCCAAGAAGGCTCCTGTTGCCCGCGCCCGATCCAATTCGACCATGACTTCCATCTCGTCTCACTGGGACGAGCAAGACGACCTCCACCACGTTAGCCATCGTGGTGCCATTGATATCCCCGCCTCACACTCTTCATACTCCAACTCTGGATACGACTACCTTTCCATGTCACACCAAGAGCATACCCACCACATGCACTCGCAATCCGTCCCACACGATTCTGTCCCACAAGGCAGTTGGAGCAGCGTTCACTACGGCTCATCTTCCATGATCCAGTCACCGGATGCCCGGACCACTCCCAAGTTCTCCAAATGGCCTCTGCCTATCATCACTGATGGCCTGTCGTCCTCGGTCGATTCCCTCAGCGAGGTTGACTACCTTTCGCCCATGAGCCAGGGATATTCTCGCGAGGACATGCCTCCTTTTGGACACAGCCCTACTGTTGGCTACGATGGATTCCCCATTCACCACCAGTCGCCCATCTCCCGCAGCCCGCCTCCCGCTCTGCTCATTGACACCAGCCGTGTGTCCAACTCGTGTGGCAGTCTCATCTACGGTGGCCCCTCAGACAGCAGCTCTAGCCTCCATTCGCAGCTCGAACACTTTGAGTCTATGCGCCACTCAAAGTCGGCCACGGAGTGCGACGGTCTCAGTGAGCATCGCAATGAGCTATGCCCTGCTTTCCCATTCTAACTGTGAGCAGGTGTCCCAGATGTCAACAACGGCAGCTGTAATGCCCTGTCTCCAGGCTGGCACACCAGAGTCAAAGAGGAGGATTTGCATTCACCGCTCTCCGAGTTCACCCCCAATCACTGGCCCTCCATCAGGGACCAACCCCAACTTCGCATCAGCCAAGATGTCTCTGCTAAGATGACATTCTTTATGGACTACTACAAGATGACAATGGCACCTTCCATGGTTGTTATTGACACACCTCACAATCCTTTCAAGAACCACATTTTGCAGCTCGCAAGCAGTAGCCAAAGTCTTCAGCATGCCATCTGCGCCGTAGCAGCCTGCAACCTTCGCATGAAGCGCAGGCTCAGCCTTGGTCAAGACACTCGTGAGCTCTATGAGAAGCTCATTGACGAAAAACGTGCGACTGAAAATGCCGGAGATGCTCCTCCGCAAGATCCATCGCATGCCGAAGAGATTCAGCACCGCAACCTGGCCGTGCAGTTGCTCAACCAGCAGCTGACCGACCCGGTAAAGTCCAGCCATGACTCAGTCCTCGCCACCATTTTGATTCTCTGCCACTACCGCATGGCAGAGTCGGGAATCGCCAAGTTTCACACGCAGTTTGCCGGTGTCAAGAAGATTCTGGCCATGCGCAGCCCCCAACAATTCGGTGGATCCACCAGCGACGTCGCGTGGATGGAGACGCTGTTTGGCTACTTTGACGCTATTTCGGCCACGATTAATGATCGCGAGGCGCAACTGACCTCCGTCGACGATGGCTTTGCCGCTGGCATCATGCCTGCTGGCGCCGTCAACATGGTTGGCTGCGACCGCGAGCTATTCAGGACGATTGGCAAGCTTGGTAGGTTAAACATGCTCTCCCAGCACAGGCCTGTGCAGAACATGGCTGGCTCGATCCAAGCAACGGCAGATTCTCCGCTAGCCACCCGCTCCATGAGTCACGGCTACAAGAATAGCATCAGCAGCGTGCAGAGCCAGACTCAGGGGGCGGAACTGTACGCAACTCCTTCAAGCCAGCAGCGTTTTGACGGGAATGGCTTCGGCACCTTGCTCGATGATGACGAGCTTCTCACCTCGGCCATGTCGACATCCACGGCCTTTGACGACCGGCGGGCACTCTTCTGGGCGGAATGGAAGGAAGCGCGCCAAGCCCTGCAGCACTGGCACTTTGATGCCGGGGCTGTGGCATCAGAACTCCCGGGCGGCCCGAACCCCGGTCATTTGCGGGACCTGGAGTCGCTGTCCGAGGCATTCCGGTATGCGGCTATGCTCTACACGGAGCGACTGGCCAGTCCCAGCCTGCCATCGAGCCACACCAACTTCCAGAATCTTGTCAGCCAAGTGGTCTACTATGCGACGAGCCTCGAGGTCGGCAGCACCGCGGAGAAGTTCTTGCTCTGGCCACTCTTTATCGCAGGATCGGAATGTGTGAACGTGCTTCAGCAGAACATTGTGCGCTCCAAGTGCAAAGACATCATGGCACGCTCCGGCTACATGAACAACCTTGCCGCCCTTGACGTACTGGAACGTCTGTGGTCTGGTGATTTCCGAAACAGCAGCGAGATGAGTCTGTATGGTGGACAGCCCAAGTTGGGTGGAGCTCGAGGCCCGTTTAACTGGTCCAAGTGCTTGGGTGGCCCAGGTGTCGGTGTCGAATGGATTATGTTTTGAATGAATTAACACTTATTATATCGGTCATGGTTATCATGTATATGGGCGGTCATGAATTGTTTCTATCTACTGCGGGCATCATTCGAAGGGGAATGAAAAGCAAAAGGTGCACTGGGAAGCATGAGATGTACTTTTATCGGATACTGGCGCTCGTTGGCATTGTCATGCACGGAGTATACGAGGGCTTCTTTTAGGGGGGATTTGTCGGCGCACACGCGAATCTCGTCCGTTGGTTATGACGACAGCTGCATATAATTCAAGTTTGTACCTCTCAAACCACATTGTTCCATGTTTCCTGCATCTCGTATTGAGCTATGGCGCGATGGTCGAATCCACTTGCATCGGCCCCTGAGTGTTGCACTGCCCGGATCTGTCTGTCGCTTCTGGCCTCCGTCGCTTCTGGCCAGCCATGGCTTGTGGCCAGAAAAGGTGAAGAAGGAGATGGTCGTCGTGGACAAGCAAGACCTGGCGATGACGGGATCGGGCAACACGGCTACCCGGTTTCTTGGCATTGCGAATGGGGGCGAAAAAAGCGGCTCTGCCTTGCGTGACAAGTCTTGACAAGCAATAGCAGGGCTCCCCGGGAGCGCCCCCCCGGTGGGTAGACCGAGAATAGCGGCCGGCAGTTGTTGGGCAGGACACCTTCAAGGTGGCCTTGCACGCGTTTTGCATTTTCGTGCTTCTATTCGTAACTCGATATGCTTCTCCTTGCACTGCTTTTATGCACTTGGTCCACTGACCGCGCGGCGGCCGGGGGCTTGGCTGCGCTCACTCGTCCGCCCTGCTATCGATTTCGACAAGCCGTTATCGCCACCTGTGTCTCTACGCTGCTGCGCCAGCCATGTGGTCATGCTCCTTGTGGCTCGGACGTTCTGCCTGGGCGAGAGCCGACGGGTGCAGAATCGGGTCAGGTACGGAGGAAGAGCCAACCAGATGGTCGGAGGCGAGCCGAGTCGCGAGAGAAAAAAAAAAAAAAAAAAACTCGGCGCTGTGGCTATTGGTGGAGGTTTGAGGGGGTTGTAAACTCTGTTTGAAGGGCTGCGCCGCGATACATGCGATTCGCTGCGGCTGAGTTGGCGGTGGGCGGTGGGAGACAAAAGTTCCCTGGCTAGCAGGGAGAAAGATATGGCGAAGATATGGATGACACTTACTGATGTGTACATGCGATAAGTCGGCCAACTTGTTTTCAAGGTGTGTTCGAGGACTGTGAGAAGAGGCTGAATAGTGAGCGGCCAAATTGCAGCGCGAATATGAGGGGTGAAACAAGGTTCTTTGCTCGCCTGTTTATAAGCTCTTGTTAGTGGCTGTGTCACTACCCCCCGGGCCGGGCGGTCATTTTGGAGTAGCATAGAGTTGTACGACAGGTTTTGCGTTTACTTGAGAGAAAAATGTCTGGAAATCCTATATGGAGCTCGTCAACATGACAGGATGGCAACATTACAACTGGAACTAGAACGGCTGGTATGATAGTCTTGCTTCTTCGTGTTAGTGTCATGTACATCGACGCGAGCTCCATCAGCCGAAAGGAAACGGTGAGGTGGTGGTTATTTAATGATAGATGTCACAACGTAGATCCTCGATCCTGTTGTTTTTTTCTCTCTGCAATGATCACGCTCAGTCTCTTTCTTCACCTGAACCATTGAACAGCTTGAAATGTCGCAACTGCCCTGCAACTACAGGTGCCTTTCTAGTCCCGATTTGGCGATGCACGCTCTTCGCGCCACAATCCAGTACGCAACGCACACAAATTACACCCCCCTCCTCGATTCGATTTTCTCTCTCTCTACGGTTTTTCATGCAGCTAATAACAGACAAAGAGGCAAAGAGCACCACTAAAAAAGGCTGCAGCAGGAACTGCCTATCATCAGCAAGTCAAGAGAGATTTGTGCGAAGATGGGTGGGGTGCGGAGTACCGCCCAGGCCACATGATCAGAGCTGCGCGGCACAAGCTGACTGCTCATTCGTTCAAGTAGACGAGCCCCTTCTTCTCTCGGCCTTGGAATATACCAAGAAACTTGTTCGTCGTCGGGGGGGCGTTGGACGAGCCTTGCGAGGCCGCCATGCCAGCCACACCCAAGCGCCACCCGAAAAGCTTGTGTCGGCTGAGGGAGGGGGGGATGCGAAGTCCGCCATACTTGGGATTCGATACATACGTAGAGAGTATGGGCTCTCCGATCCAGTAACATGTACGAGGTGAGCACATGGCTTCTGATTATCCATCGTCGCGACTTATTACTACTGGGAATGCAAGATGTTATAAGAGGGAGCGTCACGGAACTTGGCAGAAATTGCTGACCGAGGGGAGGAGCCAGCTCACCCCTCCAGCAAAGAGGGACAAACCAACCAGCCCGCCCATCGAGTTATCGAGATAGGGATAAAAAGGATCAGGCAACTATTCCACCTTTGGCCCCTCTGCGTCGTCCACTGGCGTCCCGGCTGGGAAATGCAGCTTCTTGTTGTCCCGAGCAGGCGGGTGACAGACTGGTGCTGTGATAACGAACCGAGCGACCTCTCGCGCAAAAGTCCCACGATAACTGGTAACAACTTACTAAGAAATTGTGACTCGCGGTGAAGGACTTCCTGATGACTGAACTTTACCGAATAGTAGCCCGGCGTAAAAAGCGGACTCGTACCATTCACAAGGCCTCTCTCTCAACTCTCGACATTTTGGCTCCCACCAACAGCAAATCAGACCAAGCAGCCGAAGCCCAGCAAATCGACTCACCAGGTACCCGTAGTGTGGCTACGCCCACACCCCCTCCTCCCCAGCATGTCCGCCAAGCCGCCAGAGGGGGAGGCACAAATACTTTGGGAAAACGCGCCGTGCGGGGAAGGCAGAAGGGAAGAGAGATGGAAGGAGGGCAAAACTGCCGTCTCGTTCAAAATCGAAGGCGTGCCTCGGTCCCCGGGCGCTAACATCTCGGTCCTCCCTCACTCGCTCTCTATTCTTGTCGTCTCCTCGCGAGCGCGCGAGAAGCGGTGGCAGCTGACCTCTTTTGCTTGTTGCTGAGATGGCGCCGAGAAGTAGTGCTCGAATTTCTGTGGTGGCAAATATATAACATAAACAATAAATAAACAGCGTCAAAAAACTGAGTAGCGTAGCGTGCAAAGGCCTCGCCTTGTTCAACATCTTCACCACCAAAACTTAAACCCCTGATTGGCGGGATTTTGCCGTCGCCCCCTTGGTAGGCTGAGATGAGCTGCCCGAGATGGGACGGGGGCAGCAGTAGTTAGTTAGCCAAAAGAACTGGTTGCTTCCCATCGGCGTAGCATCATCGCTAGTGCAGCCACGAGGGCGTCGCGAGCGAGTTTGACGATGTGAGTGGTCATATGCGCAGTGCCAAGTACAGGCGGCGTGCTTGACAAAAAGCTTAGCATTCAGTGCCTTTTTTATTTCACGTTTTCTTTTGCTCCGTCAGTTGGTTTCTACTTGAAACACTGTCTGGGATGACTTCTTCAACAAGATGAGCTGTCACCCCCTTTTTGTTTTTCGATTCCCATAACCCCAGTAAAATAACTCTGTCGATCCTTGGTCGTAGCTTTTCTTTTTCCGCCGGTCGGCTCGCCTTGCCTTGTCTTACCTTTGTCCGTTGCACGTTGCACACGCACCGGCCCGTAGGGATAGTGTTGGAGGCTCAGTGGGCGTGAGAAATGGCCGATCACTAACTGCTAGATTCCACGGGAGATTGTCTTTGCATGGTGGCAATTCCGTAGCCCAACATGGCGGGCAACCAAAAGGTAGCGGTAAACTAATTTACCAATGTTGCACAACCAACAGGCTTCCTACTACAGTCATGCCAAAACCTCCCTACCCAGCTTTGGCTACACGACACAGTGATGACGAAGGCCGCCCGCCACGTGCAATATTTCTATTTTGGCCATTTTGGATTGCGGGACTTGACTGTCAAAGAACAACTGCCATCGGGGCAGTGCTTCATTAGGGGCCGAGAAGTGGTGCTGGTCGTGTGCGATCCTGGGGCATCTTGCTCCATCCTGCCCGGCGATTACGTGTCGGTAATGCTATTTTGGTACTCGCACGAGGTGGCTTCGTGATCAAATGAAATTACTGCGATTTAAATAGACAAAGGGCTTTTCGGGGCTTGAGCGGTCGCTCGTGTAAGTCATAAGTCGCGAAGAGAAGTCGTCGTATTCTGCCCATCTGATCTGATCTAGCATTTTGTGGCGGCGCAGAGACTGATAAGCAGAGCTTCGAGAACCTGCAGCTTCGGCCAAACAATGCAATTTAGCGATGGCCTTGTCGAGCAGTAGGGAGCGGCATTTCTTCATCGCCGAGCCCTGCCTGATCGTGCCCAAGCCGCTCCCGCCCACCCGCAAGAAACAATCACATCATCCATCAGAGCCTCCTTCATCGAGGAGCCTTGTCTGTGGCCAACAGATCTCATCAACGTGGCTTCCCTTCCAAAGGAACTAGTTCCAGGGCCCTGGTGTCCGCTCCACCCCCTCCATTTTCTTGCACTGCCACTGTCGCTATGGGCGAACAGGTTAGGTTCGTATGGTCTAGCGCACCCGTCGACCAAAGGTGTGAGGTTGGAGTGAGCGATACAGCTTGACCAAGTCAAGTCAGCCCCAGGCGGCCAGGCCAATGACTTGAGAATCGCATCGTCAGTGATTGGCCACGAGGTTGTGGAAGATGACTAGAACGCCCCCGCCACCCTACTCCAAAAGTCCCTGGAGCCAGCCGACGTGGGATCTTGCTTGGTGTCGATGCAGGACAAAGGAGAGGAGGGGGCGTGAGCATATTCAAGGCCAAGACCGGCGCTAATGCCAAAAGAAGTTTGGGTAGATGAGAGGGGGAGGCGTGCCTGGAGAAGAAACACCAGGGGGGTTCCTTGGCTAATTCCTTCCCGTGAAGCTGGCATTTGGAGGAGAGAAAGACAAGGGAAGGGAAAAAAGTACCAGTTCGAAGAAGCATCATGACTGGAGTGTGGAGGGGGAAAGGGGGCGTTGATTACACTACTGGTTGCTCATGTGCGACGAGG